TGTGGCCTAGGGCATCAGAAGGGACCAAGAGGAGTCCAGTCTGAGCCATAGAGCCCATGTCGTTGCCCCCGAAGGTCGCGTTCAAACGCCCGGAACGGCCGTTACAGTGGTGTCCGGCCGGCGTGATCACCGAGCTGTGACGCTCAGGGAAGCCAGATGAGGTGCTGGTTTCTTTGGCCAGGGCTGGCCTTCCCCCCAGGCTGGATCAGCTGAGCAAGGTTTGGGGCGAATCCTATACACAGATCTTCAGATATTTTCACGGATGCCCGAAATCACCCGTTATTGCTCCTTTGCGGGCATCCGTGAAAATATCTGAAGATCTGTGTATAGGATTCTCCCCAAACCTTGCTCAGCTGATCCAGCCTGGGGGGAAGGCCAGCCCTGGCCAAAGAAACCAGTACCTCATCTGACTTCCCTGAGCGTCACAGCTCGGTGATCGCGCCGGCCGGACACCACTGTGACGTCCGTTCCGGGCATTTGAACGCGACCTTCGGGGGCAAAGACATGGGCTCTATGGCTCAGACTGGACTCCTCTTGGTCCCTTCTGATGCCCTGGGCCACACCTGGGCCTTACCTGGGGCTCTAGGGGCCGGGCAGGGTTTGCCCCCCGAAACTGGCATGGGGGACCATATGGGAGCGTAAAGAAAATGGAGCGCCAACGTCCTGCCACTCAGTCGCCCGACGCCGCCTCGGCCGCAACCGCCACGGCCGCCGTCTCCGCCGTGCTACCCGCCGCCACCGCCACGGCCACCGCCACCGCCGTGCCCGCCGTCGTGGCCACCGCCACGGCCGCCGCCGCCGCCGAGTCCCCGGCCGCCGCCGCCGAGTCCCCGGCCGCCACCGCCGAGCCCCCGGCCGCCACTTCCGAGCCCCCGGCCGCCACCGCCGAGCCCCCGGCCGCCACCGCCGAGCCCCCGGCCGCCACCGCCGCCGCCGCCGCCTCTGGTCCCGCACCATCAGCCGCCGACATCATCGACCTGACTTCCCCGGAGCGGGCAGAGGACAGCGACGATGAGGTGCAGCTGATCGAGGCCCCCTCTGCGCCGCCCGTCGCGCCGCCGCCCGCTGTGGCTGCCGGCGCCGACGCGGACGCCGAGGTGGAGCTCGTGGGCTCGCGCGGCGTGAATGCTGCTCGCGACCTGCCGCACCGGCGCGAAGACTGCCTGCACCACCCCTTCTCCGCCGGACGCGAAGCGGCGCACTGTCCCCTGTGCTACTGCGCCGAGTGCGACGGCCTCGCGAGTGCGTGTCGCGAGTGGGGGCAGCACTGCCGCGTCAAGCTTGCGCACACCAAGCGGAAGCGAGCGGAGGCCGAGGCGCAGGCGGAGTCGCTAGCGGCGCGAGAAGCGGCGGCGCGAGCCGCTCACCAGCGGCGGCGGCGGCAGCAGCGGCCGGATGCCTCGGGACTGCTGCACGCGCTCCTGTTTGACCGTCTCGGCGAGCCGGGGGGCGACGGGGACTACTACAACGGGCCGCCTCTGGGCGGCGCGTTCTGGTCGCCGGACACGGCGGCGCCGCCGGCGGAGCTGGCAATGCAGGCCTTCTTGAGCCAGCTCACGCGACGGCAGAGGTGCCTGCTCCCGCTCCCTCGGCCGCCATTCCCTCCGCCGCCGTTTCCTCGCCCAGCAGCGGCATCGTTCGGGCGGGTCGCCTGCCCGCCCCTCGGCGCGCAGCTGGCGTCGCGGGCAGGCTTCCGCCCAACCTCGCCCGGAATGGCACATCTGCCGCCACCGCCGCCTCCGCCGCGGGCGCCGCAGCCGCCGTCGCAGCTTGCGCAGCCGTGGGTCTCCAGCGCCCTGCCGCTTGGACCTCGGCAGCCGCCACTGCCTCGTTGGCCGCCGCCTCCCGCCGCCCGCGTGATAGATTTGGCCGCTCCGCCGGCGGAGCTGCTCTGCCCTTGCTGCTCGGAGCACCTGCCGCCCGGCGGGTGGCAGCGCGAGGGGGCTAGCCCCGCGGTCTCCTTTCTCTGCGCCACGTGCCTCGCCGCGCTCGACGCCGCGCTGGACTAGGCGCTCACGGCCCTCGCGGCGAGCTCGGCCGGGGGGCTCGTCAGGTCTCGGCGTGCGGTTTAAAATGCTTGCCCCGCGGCTTTTCTTCTTTCCCGAGCGTCGGCCACGCCCAGGACCGCCGCAGCACCGTGCAGCGAGCGAGTCGGACAGACCTCGCTAATCCGCGTCGTTGACCAACGGCGATGAAGCGTACACTGCCCGGGGCGGCGGCGGCCGTGCCTGCCCTCCCGCTGGGTCCAAGCGCCGGCCAAATGCCTCAGATTGGCTTTGGCACGTGGGGTTTGCAGCCGCAGGAGGTCTCGACGGCAATCCGTGCCGCCGTTGCCGCCGGCTATCGCAGCTTTGACTGCGCACCCGTCTACCAAAACGAGCGGCAGGTGGGAGAGACCTTGTCCGCTCTGATAGCCGAGGGCGTCGTGACTCGCTCGGAGCTCTTCATCACATCCAAGGTGCCGCCTGCTGATGCCTGCAGTCAGCACCGAACGGAGAGGGCCCTGCGGCAGTCGCTCCACGACCTGCGGACAGGGTACGTCGACCTGTACCTCATCCACTGGCCCTTTTGCGTGCGGAGCCCAGAGCCCGGCCGGCCACGCCCGTGGCCTCTTCCACTGGAGGACCAGCTTGGCTACTCGGCGGAGCAGCTTCGGGAGGAGTGGAGGACCATCGAGGCCTTGGTCGCCACGCGCGCCGTGCGCCACGCCGGGCTGGCCAACATCGGCGAGCGACGTCTGGCGAAATTCCTCGCGTCGCCCGACCTCGCCGTCCGACCGGCGGTGGTGCAGGCGGCGTCCAAGAGAGAGGGCCCTCAATTTCGCCACCGCCGCCGCCACCGCCACCACCGCCGCCGCCGCCGCCGCCGCCGCCTCCGCCCTCACCCTTCGCACCCTCCCTCACCCTCTCCCTCGCCCCGGCCCTGCAGGTGGAGCTGCACCCGTACAACCAGATGAGGGCCCTCCGCGCGCTCTGCGCGTCGCACGGCATCGCGGTGGCCGCGTACTCGTAGGTCTCCAGCTCGCCCTTAATTAATTAGTAACGAGTCCATTCATCGGTGATAACAGGTGACCGCGTACTCGTCGCTCGGCTCGCCCGCGCGGCCAGCAAAGTACCAGGTGCAGGCAGACGCACACCCGCTCCTCCTCGCCGACCCAGCGATCACGCAGGTCGCAACCGCCCACGGCGCGTCTGCCGCCGCGGTCGCGCTGGGTTGGGCGATGAGACGCGGCGTGGCGCTTATCCCGAAGAGCGCGCACCGGGAGCGGATCGCCTCAAACCTCGCCGGGACCCTCGCCCTCGCGCCGTCTCTCTCGCCGGGCGACCTCGCCGCCATCGACGCGCTCGAGCGAGGCCACCATTACCTCGCGGCGGGCTGGCGGTGCGCTTGCCCTGCGTCCGCCTGGGCCTCGGCTCCGGCGCGACGTGAATGCGACACGTGTTTTTTCCGCTGTAGGGGCTACGCGTGGAAGCGAGGCCAGTCCCTTCAGGAGCTCCTCGACGACGCGCCGCCGCCGCTGCCGCCGGTTGGGCTCGGCGCGGCCTTGCTGCTCCTGGCCTGCTGCTGCGCACTGGTCGTCTGCAAGGCGAGGCGGCACGCGGTGTCGCGGGACGCGGCGCACGAGGTCGTGCGCCGGCTGTCTTTCGGGGGCATGCCGCCGATATAAATCTGTTTCTCTTCGTTTCTGGTCTCGCTCCAACTGGCGGGGTGGGGAGCTGGCCCGCGGATGTTTCTTCTTTTGACCGCGCAAGATATAAAGGGTGTCCTACGATGCGAAACTTGGTGCGCGCGGACGGCGGAGGGTGGTGGGCGGCTGCCAGCGCCTCTGCCGCTGGCGTCGCGTGGGCTCTGGGCCGGCGCGGGGGCCCCAGAGGGTGTCCATGCGGGGGGGAGATGGTGTCCCATGGCCCGCCGCAGGCGCCGATTTTTTGGAGTTTTTTTCTTTTTTCGCGATTTTTTACTTGTTTTCATGGGAATTCGGCGTACTTGCGGCCATGCTATCACGCCTTGCGACAGCCTGTCGGCGCAGCTGACCGTGCCATGATGCACAATTGATCACCTGCATAGCTCGCGGCCTTTGTATCAAGCATTCAGTGATGACGTGATCGTACGGCCAGTAGGAAGGTGTCCTTCCAGCTGCGTGCACGCTTCTGGCGCAATGCGCGTCACCTCGGATTGGCTGCTGGCACTCTCGAGGCTATGCCTACACAGCCTCGCGCGCATGGGCAGTCAAGAGGGACCACGCACCTTCTCAGGACAGCGCCGGCGCCTCTCTCTTGGACCGGCAAACTTGGTGGTCTCGTGTCACCAATGTGGGACCAGTGCGGCATCGCGCCATCGACAGCTCTGAACTGCGCCTCACCACTGACCGGGAAGGCCGCCAAGTGGGCCAGCACAGGTCGCACATTGTGGCAGCAGTCAGCAGTGCATGGCTGATAGCTAGAGCAGCAGCGTCAGGGTCGCAGGGTCGGATCGTGTCAAGCCTCTCGCCCGGCCGGCCGCGTGCAGACGTCGGCCTGTCTGCTGTCTGGAGTGATCTGTCGGCGGTCAGTACGACCGATCAGGTCGGAGTTTTCTGATGGTTGGAGGGTCTATCTGTATGTACTCCTCGAGATCTCTCCAAATCTGCCCTCTGATCAACCGTGATCATTCGGGAAGTCGGTGCTCATAGAGACTCATAGAGCCGGAGCCCCGTTTCCGCACTGCGGCGCGGCGCACGGTGCCTCCGGGGGGCCCCGCGCCGGCCCAGAGCGCGTGGGCAGAAGAGTGGCGGCCGCAGAGCCGACAGTCGTTGCTGGCGTGCGGCACGTCGTTTTTGGGCACGACGCCAAGCGGCGCCTCCAGAGGCACGAGCACGCGACGGGCCTGGAGCTGGACAACGGGATGCTGCTACGGCGGCGAGCTCACGGCGCTGGTGGTGGTGCTGCCCGAGGGTGGCGCCTCGTGGCGGTGGACACGGGAAGGGAGTACACAGTGCCCCGGGCGGGTGATTTATCGCAAAAAGGTCTAAACGAGCGGGGCGCCTGCTCTCGGGCGCGCCTGCTCTCTTCTGTTAATCAGTGCGGTATGGCGTTGGCTATGCCTCTACGGTATGGGGGCGCGTGCGGCCCGCGAGTTCCTGATCCAGTCCTCTATGAGAACCTCTCGGCTCGAGAGATACGAGACACTGGCGCCCAAGAGCCACGCCGGACCCCGCCCACGACGACGCCAGTCGCCGCTCTCGGATGTCGCGGCCAGTGGCCAGCGTGGCTGGCTCTGCAGTGGGACTCGCGCGACTGTCGCCTCCCACTCCTCCCTCGTCATTCCTCTTCGTCATCCTTGGCAGCCTGGGTTTTCCGCGCGGCGGCGGCTTTGAGCCGCGCCTTGCGCGCCGCCAGGGCCTGCTTCTTCGCCGCGGCCTGCGCCTGCTGCGCCGCGGCCTGCCTCCTCGAACCGAGGGCTTTCAGGAGCGGCGCCAGCAGCTTCATCAGCAGCGCCCGGAGCGCGACGGCAATGGTCCAGTTGTTGCACAGGTAAATCACGGCAGCCATGCTCAGCCCCAATCTCGAGCCGCCGCCTCCTGGCCCGGGCTGTGCGCCACCGGCCATGGCGCCCGGGTCCATGCCCATCTGCTGCCGCGCGCGCGTGGAAAAGGGAGCCGGGGCCTCACCATTGGGCGTCCAGGTGGCCTCGATGCCGCCGCGAAGACGGAGCAGCGCCACGCGAGGAGGCCGGGCGATCGCACCGTGGCACGAGGCCACCACCACGAGCGCCAACAGCGAGAGGCGAGACGACGCGAGCATTTCTCGATGAGAAAAAAGAAACGCCATCGCAAAATGCGCGATGAGCTGCTGCTCGCTCGCGGCTGCGGGAGACATGGCCGCCGATGCAGCTCGCACTCGCTCGGCGGGCCTCCGTCTCACAGCCGCCCGGGGCGTGCCACGGGTCGCCTGGCGCTGCGCTGCTCGCACACTGCACTCGACACTGCACTGCGCAACGCACCCCCCAGGGCTAAGGGGCTCTCTAGCCCATAACCCGATGCCAATCGTCCGGCCTCTGGGGCGCTTCTTAGCTCCCCGGCCCTGGGCGTGCGGTTACTGACAGACTGCACTCCAAGTGCTCCACAAGTGCACGGTACGGCTTTTACCTTTAGAGCTCGCCCTTGTGCACGCACAACCACAAACCACAAGGGCGAGGCGCAGAGAGGTCTCGCGAGTTCTCTCTTCCTCAGAGCAAAAAACGAGAGGGATGAGTCTAGAGATTAGAGGGGATTTAGTTTTAGATCGATTTGAGAGGGATAGAGCGCGCGAGCGCTCTATACACTATAGACCCTATACGGGTGTGGACCCTGAGTTGACCAGGGGGGTTGTGCGCTGGGCCCTCCTGCTCGGCTCCAGCGAGTAGACAAGTCTTGTCATCAACAGAGTAGAAGGATCTGACCTCGGGGCCGATGTGACCAAGCGCTGGTAGCGTGGTTTCACCTCACACCCATGGTCTCACAGTGTGCCGGCAGTCGCCGAGCAGTGTCGCTCACACAAGCCGCAGCACAAGTGACTGAGGGCCAGTGAGGGCGAGCCCATCGCTGTCACAGCTGTGGCAGCCGCACAGTAGGCTGTGTCAACTGTGCAGAGTGTGTGAGCAGCAGAGGAGCTGCTCTCCAGGCTTCTGTCGCAAAGAGCTGCATGCCACGGAAAGCGCTGTCGAGGTTCGCCGAGCGTGGCGCAGGTTGGAGGACACCGTCACCGACGAGCGCGTTGGAGTATTCACTCCGGACAAAGACGGGTACACGCACACGAGCCGCGGTCGTGTACCCGTCTTAGCGGCGAGGCGCGGGACCGTCTGTGGCGAGGTGGGTCGCTCCCCCGATTTCCTCTCTTTTGACAACTCACAGTCCACAGGGTCCACACACCACACCCTTTAAACGCTTTAGGCTAATAGGTAATAGCAGACACACACACTGTGCAAAGACCAAAGTGGTGTCGCTGTCGGCGCCCGCCGACTCGCATGTGCCATGTGTCGTGTCAACTCACGTGTTCGTGTATTTTCAGACACCTCACACCAACTAGTGAACGTACGAGAGCAGTGTGAGAGATTCTACCGAGCCGCGATGGGCGACGCGGCAACGCCGCGCCCCCACGTAACCGCGTCGTCGAGACGTTCAGATGCGGTGCTGGTACTGGCCGGCCTTTGTGATATATCGCACCCATTTGATTGTCTGGTAGTTCGACTTCTCGAAGACCTTCAAGAAGCGGACGTGCAGGCCCGAGGCGGCGAACATGGGGACCTGGAAATCCATGGTGATCGGCGGTCGACTCCACACCTTTTCGCTCACCGACTGCATCATCTCGACTTCGCCCGACATGAAGTACTCGGTGTCCCCCGGGAAGCGCCGAAGCTTCCAGATGATGCCTAGGGCGCGAGGCAGCGCGCGGGTGAGAGGGGTCAGACTAGGGCGCGCGCCGCAGCGACAACGCACCCCCGTGCTCTGGCTCGTATTTGCACTTGCCCGAAGCGGCGCTGACGTTCGCGATGGCGGTGTTCTTCGGGCACGGGATCTTGATGACCACGTTTGTCGCGAAGAGCTTGAAGGTGAACATCGACTTGACCTTGATGTTGATCTCGAGCCGCGTCCGGCCTGTGGGGCGTGGAGGCGCCGGCTGCGGATGCTACACGGGGCAAAGCGGGGAGCGCCCTCAGCAGGCGCGGCACCCAACTCCTTGACGACGGGCAGCACGCGGAAGGGCAAATTGACGTTCTCGGTGATGCGGTACGACATGAGCTGGAACTCGCCGTCGGGCGGCACAAACGAGATGGTGCGGTCCTGCGGCGCGCCGACGGCGTCGAGACGGCGGCCGGGTGGCGGCGCTCGGGTAGCGCCGCCGAGGGGGCGCGCGCGGTCTGAAGGGCGGTCGCGGGCGGGGCTGGGGCGGCGAATCACCATGTCAAACTTGCCGAGCTTGACGCACTGGTGGAAGGAGACGTCGTCGATGTCGATGCCCGAGCCGGGCCGCCGCAGGTTCGACTTTTTGGCCTACGGGGCGGCGGCGCAGGAGGCTGTCGCGCCCATATCCTCGCCAGGCAAGGGAGAGTCCAGCCTGCCCGGCCGCCGCAACACGCGAGGCCCGCTTCGGTCGCCCCCACCCCCGCCTCCCTACGCCCCCGCCCCCAACTCCGAGGCGCGAGTCATCTACGGGCGCCAGCCTTTGCCTCGTTGTCGAGCAGCAGCTTGTCGTTGAGCCCAAACTTGCACTCGGGCTGCCCCGAGAGGTAGCACTTGACCATGATGCAGCCGGAGACGTCGTTGCGGAGGATGGTGCCCTTGGACGACATGAGCAGGTTGCAGTTCTCGACCACGTCGATGAAGAGCTCGTTCTTCCGGTACTTGATGCCCTCCTTGCGCCAGCTAATTGCGCCCGTCGCCTGGATGGTGACGCCCGAGGAGGCGCCGCCGGCGCGGTCCTGCATCGCCTTGCGGTTGCCCTCCTGGGTGATGTACATCTTGAGCACGTCGTCCGAGGTGTTTTGCGGGTAGCCGTAGTCGAGGACCTGCGCCGGGGCAGGGCGCGGTGAGAGAGGGCTGGAGCCGCAACCAGGCCCAACTACGGCCGGCTGGGGCGCGGTCCGCGCGCCTCGTCGAGCAGCTCGTAGATGAGGATGAAGTTGTTGCGCACCGACTCCTCCGTAAAGTCGCCAAAGTACGACTTGAGCACCTTGATCAGCTCGTGCAGGAACTGAAAGGCGAGCGCGGCCTGCGCGTTGCCCGAAGAGACGGCGACAGCGTACATGTTGCCGTGCTTGATAAACATGAAGGCGGTGTGGTCGAGCACCTTGACCGGAAGCCTGCCGGCCTCCTTGCTGGCGATCACCTGGGCCGGGGCGCCGCGCGTGTCAAGGCGCGGCTCGCAGCAACGCACACTGGCGTGAGAGGCTCTGCGCGATCTCTGGCTGCGCAGGGCACATCCCCTGCCCCCCCCGCGCCACCCAGGCGCCACCGGTGCATAGATCCCCAGGCCGGCGCGCTCTGGAGCGAGCGTCCGCACCGCCGGACGCACACGAGACGCCACACACCTGGTTGCGGAAGGTGTCGATCGTCTTCTGGCTCGCGCCCTCGCGGTAAATGCGCGAGATGACCACTTCGCCCTTCTGGTTGATCAGCAGCACGTTGGAGATCATCGCCCGCCCGCGCCCCGCTCAGCGCGCGCGATCCTGCCCGTGTGCTGGTTACGCTGAGCGTGCAAAAAACGCTTTTGTCGTACGCTCCAGGCGCTGTGGGCGGGCGGTCGCTCTGTCGGCGCCGCGAGCAGAAAGAAATCTCCGGCCGCGGTCCTCCCAATCCCTGTGTGGTGGCGGCGTGCCGTCCTTCGATACGTTCCGATCCCCAAGATGGGTTATCTGTTTCCTATCTTTCTTCTCTAGGATTGTCCCCCTCCCCCTCGCTTAGTTTTGTAACATCACACCGAGTTGTTGAAGAGCATGGCGCAGCTGTGGTACTCTGCCACGCTCACCTCGAGAGCCGCCTAGAGCGGCGCTTAGAGCTGTCAAACGTTAAGAGCTGAACAGAGTTGCTAGTGTTAACAGTAACAACAGAACAACAGTTGGGCTCCCCAACAACAGTAGCTAACGTTATAGGCCAGCTGAACAACAATAAGGAAGGCCTACCAGTGACCCACGACGATCCCAGCGTCCAGTGCGGGTAATACCCGAAAATACCTGGAAACCCCCGGGTATTTTCGGGGTTTACCCCCGGGGTTTTTGGCATTTTCTGCTTGCTGACCACTGAACACCAGTAACAACAGTAACAAACAGTAACAGCTTGGGGTGGGGAGAACACTTGAACAACGTTGAGGATTTCAGCCAACCCTAGGGCAACTGTTAGGCCCAAAGGTGTAACGTTTGACAGCTCTAGCGGCGCTGTGGTGGCGTTGAGATTTTCCACGACACTGCCGGAATCGTACCCGAGCTGCCCATAGTGGTTGAGGCCTGCCAACGCTGATCCCAAACTGCTTTGCCCGTGAGAGGCACTTTGCCGAGCCAGTGTGGGCAAACCAGCTGGCCAAGCCGCGCCCCCCCCCCCCCCCCCGCGACATCACATCGCCATCGTCGATGAGAATCATGCTGAAATAGTCGGAAAACGTGACCTGCTCGGCACGTTTGCTAGCCAGCAGCGCCCCCGGCTTGATCCAGAGCCCATCCACGCCACCACAGCGCCACCACTGATCCGCACTGCCCGCAGTCGCGCTCGCGGAGACCGGAGTCGGCATCAGTCGCGCCCCCGCGTCGGCGCCAAAAAAAAGGCTAATAAAAAGATGAAGAGAAGAAATCGTGGGGGACCCCAAAAGACTCAACACTCAACCCATGAACGTACACACACATCCGCCGGCTGTCGTAACACGCGCTCTCTCGCCTTCACGTCTCGGCCGCGGCCGGAAAGGTTCTCGCCAGCAGCTCCGCGCGGTCGGCGACGCGCGCGCGCACACTCTGGTCAAACAGGGGCCGCTCGGGGGAGTCGTTGGCGAGGTCTTCGGCGAGAGGGAGCGAGCCGAAGCGCGAGCCGAAGCGGTAGTCCTCGTGGATGCGCAGTGGGTGCGCCTCGGTGTTGAAGACGTACTCGTCCAGCGGCACCTCCGTCCCGTCTCCGAAGAGCAGCCAGAGGTACTTGAGCGTCTCCGCGAGGAAGAAGGACTCCATCTTCCCGTTGTGCCCGCCGCCGTGCCGGTCCGTCACGTCCTTCAGCCCCGAGTAGCCGCCGTCCTGCAGCCGGCAGAGCCGCTCGAAGGCCACGAAGATGTGCCACCCCCAGTCGCGGTACTTTTCGTCGCCTGTGACCCACCACAAGACAAAGAGCGACTCGACCGTCTCGGGGCGCAGCAAGTTGTGCCTCGCGCCGCTGTCGGCGGCCACGCGGCTCGTCCCCTCCCTCAGCTCGGCAATCTCGGGCGCGAGACCCGTCGGCTGGTCCGAGTACATGCGGTAGCACGTCTCCATCAGCTGCTCCGCGAGGGCCATCGTCGCGCGAGCCGCCGCGCCGCCCCGCACGCCGTGGATGCCCGAGTGCGCTCCGAGCGCGAGCATGCCGGGCACAAAGCAGACCAGGTGGTCCATCTTGTCCTCGTACCGCTTCGTCCGAAAGTTCCACCGGCCGATGTATGTGCAGTTTGCGCAGCGCGCCAGCCCGCCCTCCCGGACGAGATGCGCCGTGATGGCCGCGACCGACTCGGTGTACATTTGCGCCACGCGGCTGTCGGTGCGGCTGCTCATCAGCCACTGCTTGAGCAGGTACTCGTAGGCCTAATCATGACAGGCTACTAATTAATAACTAATACCAAATAGCACCGCTTGAGCGGGGTTCTCGTAGGCCGAGTCCGCGCGGGCGCCGAGGGTCAGGTCGCTCGAAGCGAACTCGCCGCTCACGGGCGAGATCATCGTGGGGTAGAGGCCTGGTCACGGGAGGGGGCGTCAAGAGACGCTGTCCGCACGGGCGGCCTAGGGTCCGCCTCGGGCAGACACGCCTCGAGGCAGCGCCGACGGACGGCTCATCTCTCGGAGGTGGGCCATCACGCGCTGCGCGACGGCCTCGTAGACAGGCTTGCGCGTGTGCCTAGCAGCAGCGAACAGCAAAGGTCGGGTGAGTCTGCTTCCCCCCTCCCCGCCTCGTCGACGGGCCTGCGTGCGTGCCTCGAGAGGGCGCGGAACTCGACCTGCAGCGTCGCAACCTCGGCGACAGTCGACGCGCCTGTCCGCCGCGCCAGAGGGGGTGCGTCTTCCCTGGCAGGGCTGCAGGACAGGGCGGAGGGGGGGGAGGGGGAGGAGGAGGTGCCCACGCGGCGCGCCTCGCGACCACGTCGGGTTGTACCGCTTCCTCGACTTGAGCCCGACGGTCCCGTACGGCAGCCCCGTCGGCGAGTCAAAGGCGAAGACGAGGCGCTGGCCGAGCTCGTCCGCCGCGTCGAGTACGCTCCTCTCTCCAGAGAGCTCGTACGCAGACAGCAGGCCGCCCAGCACGCGGATCGTTACCTGCGGGCGGCGGAGAGGCGCGCCGGGAGGTCGGCGGTCGGGCGGGGCGTCGGGCGGCTGGGTGGTCGGGCGGGTAGGCGTGCGCGCGCCTCAAACACGTTGATCTCCTCCTGCTCACCGAAGCGCAGCCTCGTTCGCACCCAGGCGACCGCCGCCGCAAACTCCTCGGAGAGCCCCATCAGATGCATGGTGTCGAGCGAGTCGACCAGCGTCAGGCCCATCCCAAAGGACGAGACGGCCAGCCGCGAGACCGGATTCACCTCGTCCTGGCCCCAGGCGTAAGTCGCATCTGCCGGCGGTGGTGCGGAATGAGCGGGCGCGCAGGTGATCGGCGGCCGGTTGGCGGCCGGTGGACGACGGCGGCGGCGGCGCGCGGCTGGATGAGTGGGCGCGCGGGGTGGATAGCGAGGGCGTGTCTCACAGCTTCGCCACGCATGCAGGAATGCGGATCGAGTCGCATTCTGTCGCTCGACCTGAGCGCCGCGCCGAACGACGGCGGGGGGGGCGTCTTCGGCCGCGCACTCGCCGTCAGTCGTAGCGCCAGGGATCGCGAGGGCGGCGGTCAAAACCAAACACGCCATGACCAGCCGCCAGCATCCAACGCAAGAATCCAAACAAGCGCGCTCCCAGGGTAGTGAACGCCCAGGGAACCGATATGCCTTACAGTATTTTTATACAATACTCAGGTCCCGCTAGCAAGTCATGAACAGGGTAAGGGAGGGAGGGAGAGCAAACAACTGGGAAGTTCACAGCTGAGCTTACCCAGAGAACTCCGTTCTCACCCACAAGCGAGCGCTAGTGAACGCCCAGGGAACCGATATGCCATCCCCAACCGCCCGAGCGCCCGAGGTGGGCGCTCGGAGGCCGGAGGCATGAGAAGGCCGACATGCGCGCGGGGCGCACGAGCGGCGGAGCGAGAGCGGGCTCGCGTATGGAGTGGTGTGTGTGTGTGTGTGTGTGTGTGTGTGTGTGTGTGTGTGTGTGTGGCACGCGCGCGGATCTCCATGCGTCCGTGCGCGTGTGTGACGAGGGAGCTAGCTCGTCGGCTCGCCGGGCTCCGCTGTGTCAGCAGCGCCGCGGCGGCGCTCCCACGACGGTGGAAGCGCCTGGTAGGATCCGTCCAGGAGCCAGCCGAGCAGCTCGTAGGCCTCGGGCGACGGCAGCACCGACGGGTCCATGTAGTGGAGCTCGCGCGTCCGGCCATTCTGAGACCAGCCGCCGAGCCAGTTGCCCCGAAAGCGGGGCACTCGGATGGCCTCCGCGGCGCTCGAGCCGCCAGAGCGCAGCGAGTGGCCGAGGTAGACGAAGCCGGCCGGAGCCCGCACGCCCTCCTCGTCGAGCGTCTCGCTCACCCAGCCCGCCATGTGGCGCGTCAGCGGCCGCCGCTCGCCGGGCAGCTGGAAGAGCCACTCAGGCGCCGCCCCGAGCGCCGCCCGGGCGGCGAGGTAGGCCCTGCCTAGCTCCCCGAGCTGGGGCAACAGCGAGGCGTGGCCGTGATAGGACATCGCGGTGAGGGGGAGGCGCACGATGCGCCGGAACGCCCAGCCGCGCCGCATCTTCTCGGAGATGCGGAGCCAGATGAAGCCCGAGCTGTCTTCATCGATCCCGTGGTCGGCGGAGCGGAGACCGGTCGAGGTGTCTTGCCGCCCCATGAAGACGAAGGAGAGGACGAAGGCGTAGCGCCTCCGGAGGAAGTCGGCTGCGCCTCGCGAGCCCTGCCTCGCCGCGAGAGAGGGCAGGGCTGCGAGGGTGGCGTGGAGGATACGCGCCGCCACCGCCGCCGGCATAGGGACACGCGTGTCTCGCGTGTCGCAGCGAGCCTGGCCCCGCGCCATGCCCCGGCGCGCCGCGGTCACGAGGTGGCCGAGGGCAGGCTTGTCGAAGCCGTAGTCGGCGTGGTACGAGTTGATGGCCGAGAGGTAGGGCTGGAGGCTGCTCGCAGCGATCGTCCCCTTCTCGGCCAGCGCGCCGACGTAGGCGAAGATCATCTGCGGGGTGGCGGGCAGCGGGTCGAGGCCCTCCTCGTCGCACCACCCCTCAAACTCGCGCCAATGTCGCGCGTAGCCCTCGGTGGTGGAGTCCTCCCGCGCCGACGCCGCGAGGCGCATGGCGGTGCTGCCGCCCCGCCATGCGCCGACTTCCGACGCCAGTCTGGCGAAGGGCGAGTGCCGCGCCGAGCGGAGGCTCATCGAGTAGCGCCGCTGACGCGGAAGACTGCCACCGGCCACGACGCCAGCCGCGGCGGGGCGTCCGCTGCCACGCGCTCGAGAGAGCCCGGTGGCAGCACCACGTGCTCCGAGCTGAGCTCGAGGAGCAGTGGGTACCACGCCGCGCTTGGCCAGTGCGGCGCGCAGACGTGCGCCGAGGCGCCCGTCTCCTCGAGCAGCTGCACCAGCTGCAGCAGCAAGCCGGGCGGCGGGTGGGCCCACACCTGCTCGCCTCGCCACTCCTGCGAGAAGGCGTCGACCGCCTCCGCGCCCGCGATCGCTCCCGCCGCCCAGTAGCGCGGCAGCAGTGCCATCGCCGGCGAAGCGAAGGCGTCGACCGTGCACTCGCCCCAGGCCGCCTGCAGCGCCTCGAAGCGGGTCCGAGTCAGCGCGTAGTCGCCCGAGACTGCGAGGCGAGAGGCCCGGTCGGCGATCACATTCGCCGCGCTGCGGATGTAGTCGCGCTGCGGTCGATGTCGTGGGCGTCCAGGACGTACCACAGCTTCCGCAGCTCGTGCATCAGCTGCGGCGACCGCGAGACCATCGACGTCAAGATCCAGACCACCGCCATGTTGTCCTCGCGCAGCAGCACACGGCGCCCGGCCAGCTGCGGGAGGAAGAACTCGACCCCCTTCCGCACCGCAACGAGCTCCTTCCACGTGATGTGGAAGGGGAGCTCGCCCGGCGACCAGAAGCCGTGGGCCGGCGCGTGGCGCTGCGCGAGGTCGACGGCCGCCCCCCAGCCGAGGTCGGAGGCGTCGGTGTGGAGCAGCCGAGTCTCCGCCGGCCGCCAGATGGCTCGGCCGACGTGCTTCGAGCCGCGCAGCTCCGCCCACCAGCCTAGATCGGCCAGAGACTGCCGACCCAATCGCACGCCGTCCCGCGAGCGCCAGCCTCGGCGCGTCGCCAGGTCGTCGTGCTCCTGGCCGAAGGCGAGTATGGACCCGGCTTGCAGGCGCGCCGCTCGCACCTGCTCGTGCACGAGCCGCAGCGCCCTGCGGGAATCTCCGGGATCATCTCGCTCGTCGCCGATCGCGTCTTCGAGCCGCTCGAGGTGCGCGCACAAGTCGTACATGTACGAGAGGGAGGGAAGGAGGGTGCACACCTCTCGTTGGTTTGCGGCCCCGAGCTTGCGGTGCAGCTCTGCGTGCACGGTGTCGCCCGCCGCCGCTGGCGAGTAGTGCGAGGTCCGCTGCTGCAGTCCCCGCTTCCGCTCGAAGGGGTTGTCGCTGTCGTAGTCGCAGGCGAGCACGTGTCCGCCGAACAGCTCGCCGACAGCATCGTCGCGACCGACGCCGCCGCCGAGGCGGGGGGGGCCGCGGTGACCACCGCCGCCCACGTCGTCCTCCGACGAGTCGGCGTCGGAGTCTGGGGGGGTGGGAGGGTCGGGGCGCACCCGCTCGCGGTCCTTGGCCGCCTTGCCGCCCGCTCCGCCGCCGTCGCCGCCGCCGCCGCCGCCGCCCGGTGGGGGGTCTCCCCCGTCGGGCTGTGCGGCGGTCTGTGCGGCTTGAGCCTCGAGCCGCTCGAGCTGCTTGCGAAGCACCCGCAGCTCCTCGGCCGAGTCCACGGGAGCGGGAGGCGCGGCTGGGGCCCCGTCGGTGCCCCCGCCAGCCCCCGAGGGGGGGGGCTCCTGCCCAGAGTCATCTTTGGCCTCTGCGGGCCGTTCGTCTTGGTCAGCGTCGGAAGCGCGCTTCGGCGCGGATTTGCCCATATCGTTGGGCGCACGGAGGGAAGGAGAGGTGGGCTCCTGCCCGAGAAGGTCGCGGGACCTGCGCAGAGCTCGCTCTGCGTGATGCCGCTCGAGCTTGGGCGTGCACGCAAGGGCCACGCGCAAGCAAGAGCAAACAACTGGGAAGTTCACAGCTGAGCTTACCCAGAGAACTCCGTTCTCACCCAGAAAGAATTTCCCGCCCGCAGGTTGTTGTTGTTGGAAGGTTTTTCTTTCTTGTGTAGTGTTACAGAAAAGCCGAGGCGGGCATCCTTCACACACCTCCTCGATCCACGATCGTCACGGCAGTCCACGATCGACGGGCCACCCGCGTCACACACTCATATCATGGTACGTCGGGAATACAGTACGTCCCGGTCATGGAAGGGAGGCGGCGCCATAGCCGGCATTCACTCGCGCGTCGCCTGGGCCCGCACCGCCAGCCGCCCCCGGCGCACACAGCGAGCGGGTACAATGACCGGACTCCGCGTCCCGCGAAGCTGCTGCGGGAGAGGCGCCAGTCGGGCACGGCGCTCACGAGAAGACGCTGCTTGCGTTGCGCCTCGAGATCGAGGATGGCACCTGCGCACCGGCATGCGTGGGTGAGGTGGATGCGAGGGCGAGTGTTGCGCGAGAAGAGCCTCCACCGTGTATGGTTTCGGCACGGGCGCAGGCCCGCCGCCAAAGACGCCGCCCTCAGCCGACGTGCTCAGGTTGCGGCCCACCGCACCGTTGCGCGGGCGAAGAGGCAAGCCGGGCAGCTCCTTGGTGAGCTCCTTCTCCCGCGGGGCGCCGGCGGTGCGGCACGCAACAGGGTCGAGCCGCGTCGAGTCCTTGCGTTCGGCGGAGGTGGGCCGGTAGGAGCCTTGGTCGAGGACAAGGACGTCGCGAGGCTTGGCCGCGAGCGGTTGGCGCGCCCGCGCCGGCGCAGGCCCGCCGCTGAAGATGCCAGAGTCACGTGGGCGCGAAGCCGAGCGCGGGCGCGGCGCGGGCGCCGGCGCAGCGCCGAAAATGCCGGAACTCTTGGTGGTGGCGTGGCGCGGGGGACCTGAAGAGGGCGGGGGTGGGCCGAAGAGCGTGTCGAAGGAAGAGGGCATTTAACCGTTGGCCTCTGGGGGCCGTGGAAAAGAGAATTTTGAAATCCCAAATCCTCGCGCGTCCCATCCCTCCCCTGGGTATCCGTTTTCTTCTTTCCCATCCCTCCCTTGGGTTGTCTGTTTCTTTCTTTCTTTTTCCCATCCCTGCCTTGGGTTGTCCGTGTTCTTTCTTTTCTTTTTACACTAGGCACGGGACTGGGCGACTGGCGCGCACTCACTGGCACTAACACAGGTACACCATGGAAAAGAGAAAGCAAGGCGCCTCACACAACGCACTCTCGCACAGGACCCTGTCCTCCTCCCCTCGTCCCTCGTTTGGGTTGTCTCTTTTCTTTCTTTCTTTCTTCTCTCACATGACAAGCGATCCACGACAGCGATTGTGGGGACTACATGAACATGATCCGTACGTGAAGGGTGGAGGGGCCCGTCCGCAGAGCTAGGCGGCGTGGGCGCCCCCCACTGGGGCCGAGGGTAAGAGGACGTCTGCCGCTTGCTTGTTCTTGACGTCGTTGACCCAGTTGGCACGCTCAGGGGAGTTGAGGCCAGTTGGTACGCGTATTGCGCGCCTGCTTGTTGATGTTCTCGGCGTCGCCCGCCACCGCGCCGCCATACCCATGGAGATCTGCTGCGTGTGGTGGACGACGAAGGAGGATGCGCTCGCCGACGCCGCCCCGTACACCGTCCGGTCCGAGTTGGTGCCCGCCGCTTCCTTGGGGCGAACCTGTGGCGAAAAAGGGAGGAACTGCTTGGTGCATGGTGGGCGGCGCAATGCCACCCAAAGTTTCCACGAGCACCAGCCGCAAAAAGAGAAAAAGAAGCGACTCACACCCTGGACGCTGGAGCGCGGTCCGCCACTCGCTGCCGCACTCCTGTCCGAACGATCGCCTTCCTTCCTCTTTTACATACACAAAAGCACTCCAGACTCCACACCAAACCGCAGTAGTGCTAAAAGTAGTCTAAGTACTAAGAGGCGGCACACACGCCCTCCAGCTCCACTGGACACTGCTCTACATCTACGTCTACCACGAAAGACACACTGTCGCGGAGAAGTGGCCCGCTTCGATGGACAATGGTTTCGTCCCAGGGTTAAAAAGCAGTCCGTTCGTCTCACACGTTTGTCCGGCCGGTTAAAAAGCAATGGTTTCGTCCCACGGTTAAAAAGCGATGGACAATGGTTTCGTCCCACGGAGCACGGTTAAAAAGCAGCCCGGAGAGAGAGATTTTTAGCAATACCTCATAATACCAAACAACTCTAACACTCACACGTTTGTGAGCCCGGCGGAGGCGCAGAGGGTGATGTGGTCCGCGCACCACTGTGGAAGAAACGCGTCGTCCTGCCCACCAGCAAAGTAGTCCGCCACCTGCAAAAGCAATCGGGGGCTCGTGGTCGGGCTGAGATCTCTCCTGCATCCGTCGAATCTCTACGCACCAGGCCAATCCAGAACTGCTGTGCGTAAACTGTCGCCATCAGCGGCGGCACGTCGCCCGCGGCGACCGCCCGCTCCATCTCCGCATTGGCGATGTTGGTCAGCGAATTGAAGGGCGGAGGCTTGAGCAGCCCAAGCCGGGCGAGGGCGGCGGCGAGGATGACTCCAAACTGGGAGAAGTAGGCCACGCCGACGATGGAAGCCACCTTGTTCTGCTTGGCTTTGAGCTCCGGCGAGGGCGGCGGCCGAGAGAAATCTCTCGTTGTGCCGCGGCTGCTTTGACGATCCGCTCGCCTCGCCGTGAGGAGGAGCGGTGGACGGGGGTGGTGGACGGGAGCGGTGGGCAGGAGACGCGCCCTGCAGAATCCTCGAACAGGCAGCGCGGCGATCGGCAGCAGGAGCACGGCGGTCATTCGAGCTCGCATATCCTGCAATATGTGGCTGGCGGGCTGTCTGGTATAGCCCCAGCCGACTCCGCGTGAACTCTCGAGGGATCTCGAGTGTACGAACTCTGTTCACACCGAGCAGCTGGGAGTGGCTGCGGCTATAGCAGACAGGCTGGCGGGGCGCGCGAGCGAATCCGAGCAAGAGCACAAAATGTTTCACAAAGAGAGAAAGCGATAAATTAGAACACAAGAATTTTCACTTAAGAACACAACGCATTCTCTCACATGACAAGCGATCCCACGACAGCGATTGTGGGGACTACATGACCTGTACGTGAGGGGTGGAGGGGCCCGTCCGCAGAGCTAGGCGGCGCGGGCACCCACACACTCCCACGGTCCCACCCCACCACCCAGAGCTCCTGTGCCACTAGCCGCCTCGCTTCCGCGACACGGGATGGCAGGCACGACTCGGCAACCGCGAGCCGCTCACTCCCCCAGTCCCATTCCAGCATCTTCCCCGCCTCCTCCATCCACCGGGCGGATCCGCTCCCGGTCCCGCGCCGCCTCCCCCACCACCTCGCGGTCGCGATCGCTCATGCACATTTCGAAGGAGCACCGGAGCCACTCTCGGAGCGCAAAGTCCTCCTGGTCGGCGTCGGGTCCCTCACCACGCGCCGGAAAGTTGGGTCCCGCACCACGCGCCAGCGGGTTGGGTCCCGCACCACGCGCCAGCGGGTTCACCCACGGGCGCGTCTCCACCACCCGATAGCCGTCGCCGTTCGTCATCGCGAGCTCCTGCGCCCGCATCGAAGAGAAATCCGGCTGATTTATTTAATTTGAAAGAAATGGACGCGCGCAAATCCGTACAATTGTAACAACCTGGGTGGTGCCGAACCCCCTGTCCTTTGAACGTGTGGGCGGCAGCTGTCTGTTTACAGGCGCTGGCCGCCCGCGCGCGCGCCGGACCGGCTCCGGCACGTCCGGCGCTGGGCGGCGCGCGTCCACACTGCGCGTCGCGCAAAAGGCGAGCGCTCGCCGCCGCTACGGCGGCGGCGGCGGCCGACGGCCAACGGCCGACGGCCGACGGCCGACGGCAGACGGCAGACGGCAGACGGCATACGGCCTAGGGCTCGGCTGGGCGCGCACGCGCACGCGCGCGCGTCGCGCGCCACGCGTCGCTCCGCGAGGGCGCGCGCCAACCGCGATTCGAACCGGGGCCAAAAGGCGCCTGGAGCGACCGCGGTCCGGTCGCGCCACCGCGGCTGCGGGGCTGATAGAGCAGGCCGGCTGCGGCTCCTGATGTACCTCCGCTTTTGGGTGGCGGTCGCGCGCTGCCGACGGCGCTCGCCGGCGCTACGGCGCTCGCGGCGCGCTCGTGGCGTTCAGGGCGGCTCGCACACGCACACGCACACACACACACACACACACACACACACACACACACACACACACACACACACACACACACACACACACACACACACACGCACAGACACACAGCCCCTTCCCCTCCCCCCTCAAGGGCGAGGACACGCACAGGCCGCACCTCTAGTGAGGCCCGCATAGTATGTGGGAGACTCGTGCCGCCGCCCCTGCCACCCCTGTGTCAGTGTGCCTGTGGTAGGAGAGACTGCCAGCGACAAGCTGGAGGCAGGTCGCTAGACTGAGATGAGACCGCCAGTGGATGTGGGAGTCCACCGCGCACCGCGCTGCGAGCCTGTCGTGTCCCTTGTCAGGAGCAGGAGAGCCCACCTGTCCCCCTGATCGTCCTTCCAAAATCCTGCTCGTGCAGGTGGGGACCCTGTCCTCGTCCCATCCCTCGTTTGGCGTGTCTGTTTTGTTTTCTTTTTCTTTTCTTTTCTTTGTAACAACCTGGATGTTTTCGTAAACGTTTCGTGGACCGAGTTTGCCCATGATGGCCATGGCCGCCGCCGCCGCCACTGTCGCCGCCGCGGCCTCTGGCCGAGTAGCCCTAGTAGACCCCGTGCTAGCGGTACGTGGAGCCGACTTGCTCGCACGACCGGGCTGCACGGGGAGCCGGAAGGCACACACGAACACTGACGCCGCAAAAGGGGCTTGGCCCGAACCGTGGGCTGGCCTGCCCGCCCGGCAAGGCCGAGATACCTGGCTACGAGTGGAGAACCTGACGATCCGGAGCGGCGCAGTCAGGCCCGCTGTGCCCGCTGTGCCCGCTGTGCCCGCTGTGCCCGCTGTGCCCGCTGTGCCCGCTGTGCCCGCTGTGCCCGCTGTGCCCGCTGTGCCCGCAGAGCTCGCAGACAGGTGGTGCTCTGGGCCTGGCCGAGTGGTCGTGGTACACCCCGTGCTAGCGGCGCGTGGAGTTGATATGCTCGCACGACCGGGCTGCACGGGGAGCCGGAAGGCAACCACTGACGCCGCAAGAGGGGCTTGGCCTGAACCGTGGGGTGGCCTGCCTGCCGGGCACGGCCGAGATACCTGTCTAAGAGTCTCGGCAAGGAATGTGCCCACGGGGTGGGGTTGCCCATGTGTGGCGGCTGGATGGATGGACGAGTGCGCGTTTATGCCCGTGTATGCCCACTGGCTGGGGCTGGCCTTGGCCGCATTGGTGATGGCCGTGGTGTGGAGAGCCGCCGGTGCGCGGGGCGTGAGAGGATGGCCAGACCATGGGTGGCTCGCCTGGCGAGGCAGGCCGCCGGGCCTGGCCACGGGGAGGCTGGGGCAACGAACCGGCACCAACACAACCACTGACAGAGAGGACACGAGGGGAACAATACCCAGGATCGGAGCACTACACTTCGACCCGTCGTGGTACCCGCCCTGGCCCACGTGGGGAGCATACGAACTAACGCCCAGCCAGTATGAAAAACGCAAAGAGAAGGAGAGGCGCCGACCAAGTAGGATGAATAGGCGGAGGAGACTTGGACGGAGGGCGCCAAACCGCAGGGCACTGACACAGGCGGCGCTACGGCTAATGCCGATCCAAGCCCGAAAACGGCGTGTGCGGGAGTGGTGGCGGGGGCAAAAGCGAAGGGAGATGGACCCACACCTAGCCTTCTATGGCGTGCCGGCATACAGGGAGGGGCGGGAGAGAGCAGGGGCTCGACCTGACGAGGGGAAGGGAGAGACACAGCCGAGGGCGCCACCTGTGGAGCAGGAGCCAGCAGGAGGAGACGGAGACGTGAAGAGAGAGGGTAGGGGCAGGCCGCAATCTTGGGAACGGAGGCGGAGAAGGCGCGTTGACGCCAGGGGCCTGCTGCAGAGGCTGGATGAGGAGAGGGCAAGGCGGGGGGAGGAACTGCTCACGGATCCCGACCTCGAGCACCTAGGGGTGCCGGCAGACTATGTGTGGCAAATGTCAATACAGGAGTGGAACGCGCTCATGCGTGCGCTGCACGGCAACGGGCGGGGGGCGGGCCGCGGTGGAGCGCGCGGGGGGGGCAGGGGAGCGGCAAAAGCGCGGGGAGGGAGAAGCGAGCAAAAGGAGCGGAGAGCGTGCTGTCTCACGCTCAACGTTTGCGGGCTGCACCTGGAAAGGCGGGGTGAGACGATGGAGGAGATCGAGGAGCTGAGAGGGGGGACAGGGGGCGCGAGTCGGGTGAGAGATACAGGGAATGACACGACAGAGAAGCTAGAAGATGTGATAGGGATCATCAAGCAGGGGTGTGTGACCATCGCCACCCTCGCAGACACCAAACAGACTAGGCAAGAGCTGGAAGAGACCGTGGCCCTGCTTCAGACCAGAGGGCTGGACGGGTGCGGCACGCCAGGGTGGTGCGACCACATCTCGGGGGAGATGCATACCGGGGTCCTGATCGTGTGGGACCCCACCCACATCCGAGTAGAGAACAGGGACACCGAAGGGAGAGCGGTGGCGACCGAAGTTGAGGAGGGGAGAATAGTGAGCGTCGAGGTAGAGGAAGTGGCCAGCTGCAGGAAGTGGACGCAGTTCGGGGTCTACATGCCGGTGAGACAGAGGACGGCGACGGTGGTGAGACCGACGTGGGAGAAGCTAACAGAGGCGCTAGATGCCACGAGAGGAGAATACATGATCGGGGGGGACTTCAACGCAGAGACGGAGGAGGCGCTGAGGGAAAGGGGCGCACAGAGGGCGACCCTGGCGGACAGGCTGTTCCAGCAGATGCTGGGGGATGGAGGCAGAGAGCTGCTGACCATGGCGGACGAAGCCACCTACCGAGCAGGGACGCAGATTGACAATTGGGTGGTCACATCTGGGCTCGCGTCATGTATGGGGCGCACGAGCACAATGCCGGGGGTGTGCGGTGACGACCACAGGGCGGTGGCGGTGGAATTCTTTGGAGGAGTGGGTGGTGTGGGAGGGCCTCGCGAGTTTCGGGAGCGGGGGGTGAGCACATTCATGGATCGGGAGGTGGAGGAGAGATTCACAAATACGGTACAGGAGGTGTTCGATGACGAGGTGGAGGCCGATGCGGAGAAGGAGCTAAGCGCCTCAGAACGGCTCGAGAGGCTGACGAGGGTGCTCACCCGACACGCCAGGGCGGTGGTCGCGACCGGGAGGGCAAAGGACGATGACAAAGTGGGCGGAGAGGAGCGGCCCGCAGGAGGCGGGGAGGCAAGCGAGGGGGCGGGTGGCCGAGGGCCGCCACCTAAGTCCAAGAGAGAGAGGCTGCGATGGAAAGTGGCGAAGTGGTACAGGATACGGCACGAGGTCAAGAAATGGAGCGGCACGATGAGCGACGGATATAGGAGGGAATGGGAGGGAGAGGGCTTTTGGAGGGAGCCAAACCTGGCGCAGCTCTGGAAGGCCCTCGAGGCTCAGCCACAGCTGGCGAATAGAGAGAGGCGCGCGAGGGCATTGGCGGTCTGTGAGCGCGAACGACGCGATGCTGAGCAGGAGTTCCTCCTGTGCCCGCGGACCGGGGGGGAGAAACTCACAGAGGTGATGCAGGAGGTTGCAACAGAGAATAGCGGCAACAATGCCAGGAGAGTCTTCGAGATTCTGAATAAGGAGATGGGCAGAAGAGCGGGCGGGGGGGAGCTGGTTGCGATGTATGAGGGAGGCGAGTGGG